GAGATCTAAAGTATTTAATGCCCTCAGAATTAGAAAGGACTTTGAAACCACCATCTGATGTTGTAACAGCAAGCAAATTCCCTTCCTTATTGAATCTCAAACGAGGGAGATTCTGACACAAGGAGTTTACTGCATCAAACAATGTTCTAAAAATGACAGAAAAAATTGGAAAGTACAAAGACTACTCACAGGAAGACCTCCTTCAGCATCTGTACTAAACAAGACATTGACATTATCCATATCCCAAAACTTAATCTGATTATCTTCACCAGCACCCAAATAACGACCCTTTGTTGTGTCAAATTGCACAATTCCATTACATTTCTTTCCAAACCCAAAATATCTTCTCTTTGGTGATCCTTCTCTTTCATTCCACTCAACTAGGAAACAATCTCCATCTTTACTTGTCCCACAAGAGAACAGTCTAAAATAGGAAACAACAATCATAACTCATTACAAAATTGATGACATATATATATAGATATATATGTTGTGTTATTCATGATTTTCTTACCTATTTCCGACAGTACTATAGAGCATTCTGGTGCACCACTGTCCAGGAGCATCGTAGTCCAATCGAGAGCCGATGTTATCATATAACCATGCCTTGATTTTCCCATCAATAGAAGTTGAAAACATAAACTGTATATATATATATACGACTAGACAGATGTTAGTTCCTAGATTATATTCCACAAGCTTTATTTTTTAGAATTCTTAATTTATCATAGTACAAAAGTTCTGCATTAGGTTTCATATACTTAGTTTAAAAATTTAGATGATAACCATATTTTCTTATCAACTTACAACAAACAAAAGTATCATAGTTTAGGGTGATACCTCAAGATCAATAAGAGAAATTTTACCTGAATATTTTCCTTTTGATGAGGACAGATACAATAAACAGGTGCTTGATGACCTTCAAAGTTGAAAAGCCTTTTTCCGTTCAAATCCCATACCTATAACATTATTTTACAAAATAATATAATTAAGGATAATTTAATTTGTCTATAAACTAATACATAGCAAAAACTAATTATTTACCTTTATTAACTTGTCATCTCCACAAGTTACAATACATAAATTCTTGTTCAAATTAGAAAAAGCCAAGTCATTAACACCACCAACGTGAGCATCGATCTGTAGTGAAGAAGAATACATCAGTAAAAAAATTACAAAAACTATATTAAATTATTATTGAAATTTACACCAACATGCCTCTAAAAATGGTTGTAGGTGATTAGGTGCTTGATAGATATATAAATGAATCAAATGTTTTGTAAAAGCAACCCCTGAAAAGAACAAAAAAGTTATATTATTAACCACTAATTGAGAAACAAACTATAGAACCAAAATTTCTTAAAGCATACTTACCAATAAAATCTCCATCACCACTCCATAATACACGATTAATGGATACAGACGGGTCTTTCAAAAGTGCATTCTGTGTAAAAGTGGAATTCAATAAACTCTAACTATGACATAAACATATGGCAATCTGAATAAATAGAAATTCAGTGTGCAAATAAACAAATGGAATAGAAGATGAAGAATAAATCATGTTGATTTTGAAGTTGAGTAATAAGTGTAGCAATTGAGCATATTTAATGACTTGTGAATTCATGATTAATGAAAGTAAACATCTCCATCATATTACTTATGATTTCCTATTTTGAATTATAAATAATCAAAACAAGTACTCCAACTTAATGTGATAAAAATAGTCCTTTGGATATTTAATGGTGAGTAAATGGAATAGGACAAAACAAGTACTCCAATTAATGTGATGCAAAAATAGTAAAATGGTGGAATAAATTAATGTTACCATTTTATTGTTTGCATATATTTATGATGAAATGAGGAAAATAAAATAATTCATTCATTGGATGCAATTCATCGCGAATGGTAGAGACAATAATATTTTATATATAACATTACATTCCTCTTCATGTTATCTTTTACCATAAATTCAAACAACAGCTCCATACATGTTGAAAATATTGACCTTTTCTCTCTAATAAATAATAAATACATATGATAAAAAAAATGCTCCACATTTTTTTTCCATTTTCATAGATAATTTTCTTATGAAATTTACAATACATAATACATAAAAAAATGACATCTAAATAGGTTAAGAAGGATCTCTTAATGAGTTGGAGAAATGTAATTGTTATAATATTTGCTTAAAGTCCTAAGTATAAGATGCAAGTCAATAAGCTACAAATAAACAATATTTTTGTAAAAAAAATCTTAAAAACTACGCAATTGAACAATGCAATATAAACCTGAAATAAGACAGAGCAAATAGAAATATTCCATATTTTGAAAGGATTTGATAAAATTCTTTGTTGATGTCCTGCTTCCCAAAGTGAAATGTCACCATTTGCACAACCAACTGTTTCATAAATTATTTTTCTAAGTCAGTAATAGAATTGAATTCCTCATAAAACAAGACATTAAATTGATTATTCCAACCTACCAGCAAGTAATGAATGAAGAGAAGGATGAAAATCCATTGTTGTAATTGTTGAACCTTGTTGCAATGTACAAACAACAATTCTAGGAAGATCATCAAAGATGGAAGATGTTTGTTGCGGTGTAGCATTGTACGTAGCCTACATAGATTATTAAGAGTTTTAATTACATCATACATATGGAAATCCAATTGCATGAAGAAAAAAAAAACATGTCAAACTTTTGTTAGCACCTCTTCTACATGTCGTTGTGTAGTTCGCATTTGTGTCATTAGTTGTCCTTGATCATTGTGTAGATAATCCAACATTCCAAGAGCATTGGAGGCTATAAGAAATTGAATAACATGTCTCCAACATTTCATCAAACAAACATTTCAAGAATTAATAACCCAAATGCATAACAACATGGACAATATGAGAATTATACTATTAAAAGATAGATATTAGTAAAAAATATATCAACTTATAAGTATCAATATACAATTGAAAAAAAAATTATGCAAGGGGGAAATCGAATTATTTCTTACACTTGATGAAACAAAAAAAAATTGTTAATTCTTATACAATTAATAAAGAAATTTGTCTATCCACCAAAGTTTATTAGATGCTAAAAAAATCTTTTTATGTTTTTCATTTGTTTATTTTAATAAACCTAGAAAATAATGTACCCTAATAAAAGAAAACATCTTCAAAATTAAAAATTAACCCAAATATACCTTGATGTGTGGGAGCAGACAATGAGGAAGCAACACCTACAGGTATTTGGGAAGATGTGGACTGAATCTCATTCAATGTCCATCCCACTAAAGTATTGACATTAGATGCAGATTGGGATGGTGTAAATGGCTGCAGAAAATTAAATAATAAATAATAAATAATATTGAAATGTTTGTATATATAAATAAATATTTTATTAATGAATATTGAAAACTACATCCATACCCCAACATGTTGTCCAAGTGAAGGAGATCCATTTGCAGGTGAACAAGAATGGTTAATAAATAAAGTTTTAATGTTTGGATTTGGCATTGGATTCTTGCACAACTGATGCTGCCAATTCACACTACATAGAAAATATTGACAAACATTCTTAATCATCAATTATAAAAAAAAAAAAAAACATTGTAAAAATAATGTTGTATAATGTTGAAGTCACACACTGTTACCTTTGATTAATCAAGGTTCTTAACCGAGATGATTTAATTGAAGGAAATGTGAGTTTATCTTGAAAGATAGGATTTGCTTCAATCAATCTTTTAAGCTCTAATACCAAAATATTTCGAGCTGATTTAGTGTCACCATACTTTGACAATTGTGCATTTTCCCTTAATTCAAGTACAATAAAACAAAAGAATATCGATTCTCAAATTCTTAGCCAACAACATCATATAATTATAATATAAAATAAAATAAAATAAAATAGAAAACGAAATATTTACCTAAAATTATTGAGGGTTAGAAGATTTGTGATCTCTTTGAATAAGTATTCATTGAACGATTGAAAAACTTTCAAATCATTCACTAGAATTTCAACAGCTCTCACTCTGTCTCGTCTGAATGAAATTAGTATGAAAAAATATTAAAAAAATACTTTAACATGGACTTATAATAAGTAATTACAAAAAAAAATNAAATGGTGGAATAAATTAATGTTACCATTTTATTGTTTGCATATATTTATGATGAAATGAGGAAAATAAAATAATTCATTCATTGGATGCAATTCATCGCGAATGGTAGAGACAATAATATTTTATATATAACATTACATTCCTCTTCATGTTATCTTTTACCATAAATTCAAACAACAGCTCCATACATGTTGAAAATATTGACCTTTTCTCTCTAATAAATAATAAATACATATGATAAAAAAAATGCTCCACATTTTTTTTCCATTTTCATAGATAATTTTCTTATGAAATTTACAATACATAATACATAAAAAAATGACATCTAAATAGGTTAAGAAGGATCTCTTAATGAGTTGGAGAAATGTAATTGTTATAATATTTGCTTAAAGTCCTAAGTATAAGATGCAAGTCAATAAGCTACAAATAAACAATATTTTTGTAAAAAAAATCTTAAAAACTACGCAATTGAACAATGCAATATAAACCTGAAATAAGACAGAGCAAATAGAAATATTCCATATTTTGAAAGGATTTGATAAAATTCTTTGTTGATGTCCTGCTTCCCAAAGTGAAATGTCACCATTTGCACAACCAACTGTTTCATAAATTATTTTTCTAAGTCAGTAATAGAATTGAATTCCTCATAAAACAAGACATTAAATTGATTATTCCAACCTACCAGCAAGTAATGAATGAAGAGAAGGATGAAAATCCATTGTTGTAATTGTTGAACCTTGTTGCAATGTACAAACAACAATTCTAGGAAGATCATCAAAGATGGAAGATGTTTGTTGCGGTGTAGCATTGTACGTAGCCTACATAGATTATTAAGAGTTTTAATTACATCATACATATGGAAATCCAATTGCATGAAGAAAAAAAAAACATGTCAAACTTTTGTTAGCACCTCTTCTACATGTCGTTGTGTAGTTCGCATTTGTGTCATTAGTTGTCCTTGATCATTGTGTAGATAATCCAACATTCCAAGAGCATTGGAGGCTATAAGAAATTGAATAACATGTCTCCAACATTTCATCAAACAAACATTTCAAGAATTAATAACCCAAATGCATAACAACATGGACAATATGAGAATTATACTATTAAAAGATAGATATTAGTTAAAATTATATCAACTTATTAGTATCAATATACAATTGAAAAAAAAATTATGCAAGGGGGAAATCGAATTATTTCTTACACTTGATGAAACAAAAAAACATTGTTAATTCTTATACAATTAATAAGGAAATTTGTCTATCCACCAAAGTTTATTAGATGCTAAGAAAATCTTTTTATGTTTTTCATTTGTTTATTTTAATAAACCTAGAAAATAATGTACCCTAATAAAAGAAAACATCTTCAAAATTAAAAATTAACCCAAATATACCTTGATGTGTGGGAGCAGACAATGAGGAAGCAACACCTACAGGTATTTGGGAAGATGTGGACTGAATCTCATTCAATGTCCATCCCACTAAAGTATTAACATTAGATGCAGATTGGGATGGTGTAAATGGCTGCAGAAAATTAAATAATAAATAATATTGAAATGTTTGTATATATAAATAAATATTTTATTAATGAATATTGAAACTACATCCATACCCCAACATGTTGTCCAAGTGAAGGAGATCCATTTGCAGGTGAACAAGAATGGTTAATAAATAAAGTTTTAATGTTTGGATTTGGCATTGGATTCTTGCACAACTGATGCTGCCAATTCACACTACATAGAAAATATTGACAAACATTCTTAATCATCAATTATATAAAAAAAAACATTGTAAAAATAATGTTGTATAATGTTGAAGTCACACACTGTTACCTTTGATTAATCAAGGTTCTTAACCGAGATGATTTAATTGAAGGAAATGTGAGTTTATCTTGAAAGATAGGATTTGCTTCAATCAATCTTTTAAGCTCTAATACCAAAATATTTCGAGCTGATTTAGTGTCACCATACTTTGACAATTGTGCATTTTCCCTTAATTCAAGTACAATAAAACAAAAGAATATCGATTCTCAAATTCTTAGCCAACAACATCATATAATTATAATATAAAATAAAATAAAATAAAATAGAAAACGAAATATTTACCTAAAATTATTGAGGGTTAGAAGATTTGTGATCTCTTTGAATAAGTATTCATTGAACGATTGAAAAACTTTCAAATCATTCACTAGAATTTCAACAGCTCTCACTCTGTCTCGTCTGAATGAAATTAGTATGAAAAAATATTAAAAAAATACTTTAACATGGACTTATAATAAGTAATTACAAAAAAAAATAACATTAATTAATAACCTATCTAGAGCTTCTAGATATTTTTGCTTCCTAATCTCGAAGAATGTCATGATGGAGTATCGATTGTCATCAACTTTTGTAAATCCAAATAGGTATTTCTCAACATCGTCCCACTCTCCAGCCAAAACTTTCTTTTCAAAATATTTAATATTGAAGAACAAACCTGATTCTTGTTCTAACCTGAATCCATACACAACACAAAAAATAAACATATTTTTAAATGTTTATGGTCACGACAACATCAACAATAAATAAATCTATAAACAAATCTTGTGTGTCTCCCAAAGAAAAAAGGCTTTACTTGTGCACAGTGTCTTTATAATTCTCCTCATCAAGATATTGAAGAATGAGAAACATCAATTCTTGGTTTAAAGATTTCATTTTTTCCTCTAATTTGTATGGAATTAGAAGAAAAAGGCAAGGATTTAGAACAAAGGTTGGAAATTGAACACGACAAACAAATAATAGCTTTTGGGTGCTGAAAAAAAAAAACACAAGGATTTACAACTAGGGTTGAAAATCGAACATGAAAAGTATGAAATTATAACTATGCTCTTTTGATGTGTTTTTCAGTGATTTTTTGTTTCACAAATGTTGTGAGTGATCTATCATATAAACATCATAGTTTATATAGTAATTGTTGATAAGGAAACAAAGAATGAGAATGGATTGACAGACACATTTGTATACCATTGGTCAAAAACACTGCATCATTCTTTTGTCCCTTTTCTAAATTATAATTACTTCTTTGACTTCTTCACGCGTTTCTCATTTTCTTTTCTTGCATAACTGAACAAAAACTATTAATGATTTCTGAAAATATATCACACCTAATAAATAATACTAAAAAATGTCTTACTTTATTTAAATATTTTTAAACTTAATAGTATTTTAATCAGCTCATTAATTATAATTAATGCTTTTATATTGTTATTAATTATTATAATTATTAAAATACTTTTTACAACATTAGATATATTTAAAAAAGAAAACTCATGTTAGAGATACAACATTGGCTATATTTTATTTCATCATCCTTTTCTTTTATTTGTTATCTTAATTATCTTTCTCAGTTTTTTATTTTTAAATTAAGTTTAAATTTACAAGAAAAAATTAATAGTGTATTTGAATGAGAATTATTAAAGGGCACTTATTTATATAAAGAATTTGTAATGTTTTATATAAAAAAAATCTATATGTTATTTAGATAATATAACTTTAGGAGAGGAATTTATTAATTTTTAAAATATACCTAAAGATTAAGAATTGAAATAATAGGCTAACTTTAAAAGTGGAAGTTTAAATAAAGTTCAAAGTTTTTCACATATACGTAAAAAATAGATAATAAAAGATAATAAATGTTTCTATTTTTAAAAGACTTTTGATAAATTAAGTTTTGCAAAATAAAAAGTGTAAAGATTTATCGAAATAGAAAGTTTATAACATTAGTATAAAAGAAGTCTTTTACGTTATATTTAGAACTAATTATATATATTAAGAATTCAGCTTAGAAGTGGAAGATATAAATTAAGTACATTATTCAGTGCATAATGTAAATTTTTTTACTTTTCTAAAAAGTCTGACAATAAAACAATGAAAATTCTCCTTCAAAAAACTCTTAAGACATTCTTTAACTATTGAATTTGATTAAAAAAATAAAAAATAATAAAAATCAGGGTAACGTTTTGCTTACTTAATACATAATGTCAATTCTGACAAATAGGAAGTTTTTTACTAAAGAAAACAGAAAACTTCTTTCAATTTAGATATTAATTTATGAATTTAAAATTATTGGTCTCTACAATAGTTTTTATTATAAATAAAAAATTATAATTAGTTTGTGAATTAGATCTAAATTGGTCTTTAACATTAAATACTAAAAGAATTAGCATCTAAATTAGTATAATTAGTATGTAACACCAATAATTTTAAATTTATAAATTGATAGTTATTTTTTGTCTTTAAAATTGATTGCTATTTAAGGATTTTCTTATAATATACTATTATGTTTGGAAAATTTTGTATCCAACTTAACTTTATCAACCATGCATGTATTCAAGATCATTATTTACCAAACCTTATTGTTCTGGTAAATGAAGTTTAAAGTTGTGAGTCAAAGAATTTTATGGATGCACAATTTAATTTCAATCAAATTTGAATGCACCTTAAGATGATGATAAAAGGGCAAGCATGGCTAAAAACAACAAATTTGTATCATTTAGTGATGTTGTTTGGATTAAAGAACATAAGAAATACCTATTAGTTATTAATGGATAAAATAGGTAACAAAATGTCAAATATAAAGATTGAAGTTTATGTAAATTATATGGTCATCAAGTCAATGAAAGTCAAATGTTAAGCTATCAATCAAACAAATTATTCAACAAAATATATCAATATCAATTTATGTTGAATCTTGATAAATGTGTTCTTCAATTTAAAATCTAATAAATTTAGTGTTAAATTTAATTTTTAAATAAATTAGCAGTCATCATTAACATGAGAGACCATCACAAATATGTCACCATCATTATTAAAGTAATTTATATCGCCATTATTATCAGAGTAACTATCACGACGTCACCATCATTATCAGAGTACGTAACTATCACGTTATCACCCATTACCACAATAACTATCACGTCACAAGTAACTATCACGTCACAACCATTATCACAATAACTATCACGTCACCACCATTATTACATTAACTATCACGTCACTGTCACCATTAACGTAATTTATTATGTCATCATCAATGGCACCATCATCATTCATGTTATAGTAACCAATAAGCGTTAAATATGTTCTAGTTGATACAAAATTAAAAATTGTCTCTCTAGTTCAAACTTTGATACATTTTTGTATCAAAATTTTAAAAATAAANCTCGAAGAATGTCATGATGGAGTATCGATTGTCATCAACTTTTGTAAATCCAAATAGGTATTTCTCAACATCGTCCCACTCTCCAGCCAAAACTTTCTTTTCAAAATATTTAATATTGAAGAACAAACCTGATTCTTGTTCTAACCTGAATCCATACACAACACAAAAAATAAACATATTTTTAAATGTTTATGGTCACGACAACATCAACAATAAATAAATCTATAAACAAATCTTGTGTGTCTCCCAAAGAAAAAAGGCTTTACTTGTGCACAGTGTCTTTATAATTCTCCTCATCAAGATATTGAAGAATGAGAAACATCAATTCTTGGTTTAAAGATTTCATTTTTTCCTCTAATTTGTATGGAATTAGAAGAAAAAGGCAAGGATTTAGAACAAAGGTTGGAAATTGAACACGACAAACAAATAATAGCTTTTGGGTGCTGAAAAAAAAAAACACAAGGATTTACAACTAGGGTTGAAAATCGAACATGAAAAGTATGAAATTATAACTATGCTCTTTTGATGTGTTTTTCAGTGATTTTTTGTTTCACAAATGTTGTGAGTGATCTATCATATAAACATCATAGTTTATATAGTAATTGTTGATAAGGAAACAAAGAATGAGAATGGATTGACAGACACATTTGTATACCATTGGTCAAAAACACTGCATCATTCTTTTGTCCCTTTTCTAAATTATAATTACTTCTTTGACTTCTTCACGCGTTTCTCATTTTCTTTTCTTGCATAACTGAACAAAAACTATTAATGATTTCTGAAAATATATCACACCTAATAAATAATACTAAAAAATGACTTACTTTATTTAAATATTTTTAAACTTAATAGTATTTTAATCAGCTCATTAATTATAATTAATGCTTTTATATTGTTATTAATTATTATAATTATTAAAATACTTTTTACAACATTAGATATATTTAAAAAAGAAAACTCATGTTAGAGATACAACATTGGCTATATTTTATTTCATCATCCTTTTCTTTTATTTGTTATCTTAATTATCTTTCTCAGTTTTTTATTTTTAAATTAAGTTTAAATTTACAAGAAAAAATTAATAGTGTATTTGAATGAGAATTATTAAAGGGCACTTATTTATATAAAGAATTTGTAATGTTTTATATAAAAAAAATCTATATGTTATTTAGATAATATAACTTTAGGAGAGGAATTTATTAATTTTTAAAATATACCTAAAGATTAAGAATTGAAATAATAGGCTAACTTTAAAAGTGGAAGTTTAAATAAAGTTCAAAGTTTTTCACATATACGTAAAAAATAGATAATAAAAGATAAT